TATGTGTGGGTATATATATGTATAACTGGAAAAAAAATATTGTCCAGGAAAAAGGGCTTTGTTCATCACCAGAGACCTCTTTCTAGCCAACGTAGAGCAGTTAGCAACCCTTAAGAGACATTTTTCTTACCCAGCTGTGAATAAGACATGATTCTGCTCATATGTCACCGTTTTGTAAACAATCACATCACAGGAAGCCATGTGAAGTCTGTTGCTACAACTTCCTCATCCTGCTTGTTTACCGATTTAGTGGCACAATCAGATAAGGAAATGGAGTGTGTCTAGCATGACTTGTTAGTGGTAAACTTGCATTAACTTCTAGGGATCAGTGTCTTTTCTTTTAAATGCCCACAAATCAATTGTGTAGTGATTTGTTCCAGAATTTCAGTAGGAATCTAGATAAAACTTGTATTATTTCCTGGGTCCTGTGTTTAGTCCTGTGATAAGATGCCAAGTTAATCCCTTCATTAAGAGGAGAAATTCTTACGAACTTGCCAAAATGCTATCTGTTCCCAGGGCGATGGAGAAACATCTTCAGTAACATCAAATGTTCAGCAGGATGGCAGAACCTCCTCTTCTTCATTTTGGTGCGTGATGTCACATGTTCCTTTTTTTTTTTTAAGTTGCCTTTATGTCACCGGGCAGAGTGTTTGGCTAAATTTTCCTAACCCCAGAATTAAAGGCTGAGAACTTTTTAAAATTGTAGGGATAAATCGTTGCCTATGAGGTTTGTGGATCTCGGAAGTCCACTTACAGAAAACAGCTTTCTGGCCACAACATGTTCCATCCAGGAGATTGTGGGTGATATTTGCTTGTTCATCATCGTGGTCCCAGTGCCAGGAGCATAGTAAGTGCTCGAGAAGTATTTGTTACAGAACATGGGGGAAGGTGCAACAGCTGTAGACTAAAAAATAAAAATATGAAAATACACATACCTTTAGGAGATGGAGCTCAAAGTTCTAAATTCACAGTAAAATACATATGACTGAGGTTCGAGCCTTCCTAGAAACCAGGTCTTGTTGGAAGACTGAAGGAAGTGTTCCCAGAGATTTCTAAAGAAAGATGAGGAGGCTACAGGGAAAGCAAAGTGGAGGGAAAAGTAAGAGGGTCGGGGAGCTGCTCTGGAAGCAATAGAATAAGTCACAGTGGTCCAAGGTTTAAGCCCCCGGTGCTCATTATCGGCTGCTTGCCATCGAATAAATCTCACATGTCAGCAGGGACTCCATCCTAAGTGATGGGACAGAAACAAGAAGTCACATTTCACAGAAGTGCCATGAGCATCGAATGCGGTTAAGAATATGAAAGCACATTATCAAATCAGTGCCACCTACACCTGCGTCTGTGTTGGGGGTCAGCCTGAAGAGAAGAGCAGTGGGTAATAAGAACATAGTTAGGGTGGATTAAGAGACCACTTTCTACCTGTGAGCAAACTTGAAATGTTTCTGACTTAGGGAGAACGTTGATCCCCATCAGGCTGAAAAGACAGACAAAGCCATACAGATATGCATCCAGCTCCGGGTTCTCTAGTCTACTGAAACTCAGCACGTACTAAGCTGAATTTATAATTGTTTGCAGAGAATCAGTCATCCCTATCTGTTACTGATAGAACTGTGTCTCAAGCCACTTGAGCCTGAAATCTGTGTCTCACTGTCAAACCCCTACCACGCTGAGGAGGGAGAGGGACAGGAGGAAGAGACCTGACTCACGTAATTGTCATCCTGAGACATCTTTCCTCATCTGTCAAATTGAGATGATTCTACCTGCCCCACTGGGGTTCAGCATTTTATGAGAATCAACTGATTAATGTAAAAGCTTTCTGAAAACTGTAAAATGCTCTGAAATTTTTTTAAGATGTTCTTATTATTTGCAATAGTATAAGAGTAAACTTGAAATATTGCCTCTGTCTACCTTGCACACAGAAGCCTGAGTCCAAATATGTTTTATTTAGTAATATCAAAAGATATTGGTTCAAAGAATTCTGACCACCACTTGTATAATTTTTCTACATGTTGCCTAGCTAAATATCTCAGATCTATGGAGTTCTGATGCAGAAAGAATTAAGGCAATCATTACCACATTAAAGGTGCAAAATTTTTAAAAATATATTAATGAGGTGGTGGGAAGTGGGCTGACAGTAAAGTAGGTTTGGAAGTGTTTGGTTTCCTTAATTAAATGTAGTTAACGAGTTTCTCCACTGAGCCTGAGTGCTGGGCGAAGCGGTCTAACCTCAGATTTCTGTGATCTCAGTAAGAGATGGCCAACTGGCAGCTGCAGATAACCTGCGTCATGGGGTGAGTCATCCTTCACACCTTTGGGTGAAACCTTCCCATCCATCAGAAAGCAGGAGCAGGTCGCAAATACCGCCATGTCACTGCGAGGTACAGAGAACTGCAAAGTGAAAGCCACTCCAGATCACGGAGCCGAGCTGGGAACAAAGTGTCAAAGACGAGATGGAATTTAATTTAATCAACATTCACGAAGCATGGAGGTGGGGCAGGATACAGAGACGTAAAAGGCATACCTCTGCCTTCCTCATACAAGCTGTTGAACAAGTTGAGGAAATAGATATGATTTTTAAAAATTAAAAGACAATTTAGAACATCCTCAGTGCTTCTGTGGTGTCTCTCTATATAATCAATCCCTCCTTCTTCATTTCTGGCCACTCCCTGAGCTTCTGGCCAACGCACTCAAGGGGCGTGGATGGAGCTTCTCTCAGACCCGGTGTGTCCCCTCGCGACACCATGCCGTGTGTGTGTGTGTGTGTGTGTGTGTGTGTGTGTGTGTGTGTGTGTGTGCTCTGACCCTTCTCTTTGAAATGCCCTGTTTTTCCCTCTGGGCTTGAAGAATCATCCTTAGTGGGGCTCCCTTCCTGATCACTCCTTCCTGACAACGTGTTTCTCCCAATTCCTCAAGCTCTCCAAGCTCATCCCTTCCCCCAGGTCTTCGCACGTGCACTGTTGGATCTCTCCCATTCTTGCTATTATCGAGTGTTCACTTAAATAAAGCACCGAGAAGCATTCCTTGATGCCCCGCTGCATCTAAATCACAGCCCCATCTTATCATCTGCTAGATTCCTGTTTTCTTCCTTCATTACACTTACAGCAGCTTTTAAGTGAGTAATAAGTAAGAAATTGTGTGTAGACTTTTTAAAGTCCACACAAATACTCAAGACTATAACTTTGATAACTTTCAAGGGCTGTATGTTTGGTTCTTCATAGACCCAGCACACACGGGCCTTCAGTGACTATTTGCCGAGCGAATTCTCCCTGCCAAGTGCTTCGGGTACTTTGTACAATCTTTGAATGTAACCCTTACTCCACAGCAGTGCAATAACTTCCTTGCATATTTATCCCCATCTCTGGATTTCTGAGCTACTCAGGACTGGGTGAGGTGGCCCCAGAGCATCTCACACTCAGCACTGTGGTAGAACTTATCACCCCACACCTTAACTGGCTCAATCCGTCTGCCAGCTTCCTTGTGGCAGGAATGGGTCGTTTACCACTGCATCCCCGGTACCTAGCACTGTGTCTGGCACCCAAACAATTTTTAATAGGATGAATGAATGAGTAGAATCTCTTTTCCCATTCTGTTCTGATCCTCCAAAATACTCTTCAAATACTGAAAGAATATTATACTTTCTGTGCCTGTGATCCTGTTTGGAACACATCCAGTGAAACCTATAAAACTTCAGATTTACAGAGTAGATGCACAACAAGGGCATCGACTTCCTTGAAAAAAATTGCTTTTGTCCCCAGGATGCAGCAGAGACTGTAGGCATGAGGTGCCCCTCCTTCACTGAATTTACAGCATCACGGGACTTACTGAACATTGCTCATCGTGAATTTCCCAAGGAGAGGCCTATTTTGTAAAGCTCAGTGTAAGCTGGCAGATTGTCACTCACCGCCAGGTAGGACCCAGCTGATAACAAGTCTTCTCCAAACACCGTGCTCAGGGTAGCGCAGACGTGGCCGAGGAGACAGGCCAGGCTTGTCAGGAGACTCAGTGCTGCACCAGGTGAAGAAGCTGAAGGAAAAAGATGGGCTGAAGGAGAGCAGAGAGTGTTTGCAGGGTGTCTGACAGCCTCTCCAAATAGCAAAGGGCTACCACCCAACCCCACTTTTGTTGTTTGTCCCAGAAAAAAGGATCAATCAAGGATTGTGTTTAATATGAGGCAAAACTGTGAAACAGGTTGTACAGAAGAGAATGGGCTGCCTTGGGAGGGACTGACATCCTGGACACTGGAGGGGCACAGGACCAGAACAAGAGAACAATGGCGGGTGATGTGGGAGGAGACACCTAAGCATCGAGCTGGGAGCGGGGGGGGGGGGGGGGGGACGAGGAGGCGAGCGGGCGACGTCACGAGCGTCACTGACTGACTCAGGTGTGCACTTAGGCATTCGGTCTTCCACAGAGCTGTGGGGGTGCTCTTATTACCCTCCATCTCACCCATGGAGAAACTGAGGCACATGAAGCTTCAGAATGTGCCCAAGGCCACCAAGCCAGGGATGGCTTCCAGATTCAAGCCCAGGTTCATCTGAATTCAGATCGGGGCTCTTAGCTCCAAAGACTGCTAAAGTCCCTTGCCAATCGGAAATTCTGGACTTTTTGAATACGGAGAGATCAAGGAAAAAAAAATCAATAAACAGGGCTCAAATGTAACTAATGGAGATGAGTCCTTGGCCCTCTGTCTTCCTTTGTCCTCCAGTGTAATTCCTATGCTCGTGAGTACAGAGCATCTAACCGGGTTTCAAGTTTCTTGTGTGTCTGTGTGTGTGTCTGTGTGTGTGTGTGTGCGCATAGATCTGACAGGGCTGGTTCATTTCAAGTAACCAAGTATGTCTTTGGACAGCTCTTGTCAAGATCCAATAGAAGAGCCAATTCCAAAAATATGTTCCTTTAGTGGTTTTTTAGGGTTCTCTGCTCTGCACGGATTGACAATGTGGTAACAAGAGACATTCTGGAGACTGGATTTAATGCAACCATATGCTAGACAGAATGAGAACCCATATTGCAGCAGACCAGCCGGTACATTTCCATGTTAACAGAAGCTTGATTGCAAATTACATTTAGTCTCAACAGCTCAGTTCACTGCACACAGATGCCATGGGGGACTGTAAAGTTAGCGAGATGTGGGGGAGTACGACTAACATTTTTTTTTTTCCGAAAAAAAAATCCTTCAGCTGATAGAATGCCAAGGAGCATCAGCGCTGATGCTGAAAAGAAAATGCTGCTATATTTGTTTTGCCAGGAAAGGAAAAATAATCATTGTCGCGAGTTGTTAGTCAAATTATGAATACGAGCTCGGCTGGTAATTGTCTGATAATACAAACAGTGATATTAGGGCTGTCAGGGGCTGCATGCGCTGTTTGACAGCTAACATGTACATGCTCTCTGAATGAAGAGTTAGTTCATGGATTCCAAAAGTCAGGCCGACAGAAGGCCAGGTGATTGAGGAGAATTTCCCCAGGATCCTGGCTTCACATCCAGGACTGGATCTGGGTCAGCTTCCCACATTGTGGTCAGCATCTCCCCCATCCCCAGGTAGAGCTGTGGAATTGTGGAAAGAACACAAAATGGGTTTCAGTTGCAGGTCTGTCTCTTATTTGCTGTGTAACCCTGGATAAGTCACTTAACTTCTCTGAGTATTAAAATGGGGATGATAAGACTCAAGCAGGTTCTCTTCCCAAGGGTATTGTGCAGATCAGCTGAGAACTGGTGTATGAGCATACAGTAAACACATGGTGCTCTATAAATGTTGGGGTTATAAGCCGTATACTTGGCTGGGTTTCTTTTCCCATTTTAAGAGCTGAGCTGAATGATTTCTTGTCCATAATCTCATGGCCGGAGCAGAACTTTTTGTCTAGGTACAAGGGCTTTTCAGTTAGAATCACTCATCTTCTCTGATGAGTGTGGCTACAGGTCACCTCTCACCTAGAGGCTGCCCTGACTCCTTTATCACATGCCTTTCCCATAGGGAAGTTAGAAGGCTTCCATCAAATCCCATCGAGGATGCAGAATGCCTTTATTCTCTCTACCCTCCTGTTCTCCAGACTCCCAGCTATGGGAGAGGTGGTTCTGCTGATCAGTACCTGTTCTCCCCTTAGCCGCTGATTCCCAGAAGCCCATTGCAGCCAGGCGTGGCTAGGTTCTGGCCACAGGAAGGTGAGCAGGTGTGAAATACACACCTTCCTGGTCTTAACCTGTAAGTTTCCTGCACTTGCACAATCCAGCCTCCTGCTCTTCCTCCATCCACTAGTGGAGTGTCAAAGACTCAGGGACCCACAGGAGGGCAGAGCCACAGATGGAGGGAACCTGGGCCCCGAGTGGCTGCGAGGAGTGTAACCCCCTGCCAGCCTGCACTGCACTGTGCTCTGCACTGAATGAGAAATGCAAAGTCTACTCTTCAACCCACTGAGGTTAACTGGTCCGTTGTCAAAGAGCTAGTCTACCTTAAAACCTAAGCAATCATCTATTTTTTTAATTTTATCTTTTTTAAATTGAAGTACAGTCAGTTACAACATGCCAATCTCTGGCGTACAGCACAATGTCTCAGTCATGCATATATATACATATATTCGTTTTGATATTCTTTTTCATTAAAGTTTATTACAAGATACTGAATTTCTCACTACATACAGTGTGTTTTCTCATCCATCCCTCCCCGAAGACACCAGGCACGTTCACATCTCCAGGCCTTTGCTTCCATGGTGACTTTTTCCCCTGCTTGCCTGACCGCCCCCCCTCGACCCCAACTATACTTTTCTCCTGAGCAAACTTCCTCTTCCAGGGCTCAGCTCTGAGGAGCCCCTCAGATGGAGTTGATGACTTTCTTTTTTGAGTTTTCTCAAAACTTGTACATGCCCCTGATCGGATTGTAGCAGAATTATGGTTAACATACATTTCCCTCCACCTAAGGCAGAGAAACTGTCTCATTCAAACCCTTAATGATGTCTGAGACAGCATTTCTCTTCTTTTGCTTCTGTTTTCCTCTATCCATCCTCTGCAGGATGAGGTGCCCGGGGGCTATTTCTCCAGCTTTAAGATGGAGGAGCACAGAGGCAAATGTAAATTCCCACTTACCTTTGCAGGGTCTCTCACTACAGCTCAGGGAAAGAAAGACTGTATCTTCTTTTCTATGCATCCACCAACTGAGGTCTGCCCTGATACCTACAGAGATGTGAGGACAGGGAGGGTCCCGGCCTGAAAAAAGCCCACAGAATGTGTTGTGCATATAAAGGATGCCTCTGGGGATGGAGGCCTCCTCCCTCTCCCAGCTCACCCCGTCCCCCTTTGCCACCCCACCGAGACCCCTATTGATCATCCTGTGAAAGACACAAGGCAAAGCTGTGTCCTGTTCACATCTGAGTCCAGCTCAGTCTGTCAATCAAGTCTGCCTTGATGTAGAGCCGTGTTCACAACGGGGCACGATGCTCACATCAAACACTGCTTTGTACAACTGAAGGACACCTGCTGGGCTCCAGCTCTGAGGGAACGCAACGGTCTTGTTTCCAGAGCTCCAGGGGCTGGTGCTGCTAGTCTTTGTTTTGGTTTGAGATCTGTTCCCCTCCCCCGGGGAATTGTCAGATGCTGATCTATTTTCTTACTGTCTTCTGTTTGTTACTGTGGGCTTTTCTGTGTGTCCCTCTCACATCCATCTGCATCGGCATTAGCTGTTTTTTTTTTTCTCCCGTTAACTCTTAGAGAGTGCTCAGGGATTTTCCAATGGCAGTGAGGAAGAAAGATGGCAAAATCAGAGTCCTGGGGTGGGACCGGCAGCCCAGGGGAGTCCCAGCTATGCCACCTACCTTGGACACATCACTTCCCCTTAGTTTCCTTGTCTCTAAAATAGGAATAAAACTATGAACTCTGTCCCTTTAGACTGTAAGTGCCATCAGGGCAGAGATCATGTCTATTTTGTTCAAAATTCAATGTACCAAGTGCTTAGTATGTTGTAGGCCCTCAAAAAACTAATGACTGTTCAGCGACTGACTGGCTGATATGGAGACCCAATAAAGTCATCTATATAGAAATACTTTAAAGTCGTGCAGTGGTATACACAGGAAAGCGTTTTCAGTGCACAGATGGGGAATGCAAGGGCTGGCCCCAAACCGAGAGTTACTTAGCTATCTTAAGATGCTGAAAGATACTTTGGCAAATGTATATCAAATATGCGTAATATCCATGGAGTGGCCCAGGGATGCAACGCAGCTGGGAGACAGGACAGAGAGGTACTTGCTATCTTAACAGAGGTGAGAAGAGGAGAGTGTGTGAGAGAGACCTGGGATGCTCCTAAGCAGGAAAGAGTTATGCATCAGAGTGGAATCTTATGCTCAATTGTTCTAGCAAAATAGATCTTATTGGTTGGCCAAAGTCGTTGGAATCTAGAGTCAGATAAAAATTTTCCCAAGGAGTCATTATTTCTTAATATGTTTTATATGTAGTTTTAATCCCACCAAGTCTGAAAAATGACTTAAAGCAGAACTTGCCAAAATAGACCATCCCAGCTGGCGTTTGAGCTGGTCGAATCTTTCACCTCATAGATGGGAGAACTAAGAAGATGATGTGTCCAGGGTAACTCAGCTAGATGTGATATTCAGTGCTTGCCACATTCCGACACAGCTTTCTGAGTCACAAACAGCTGGAAGCATTGACACCGCTCTCCAGTAAGAAAGATGAAAACAGACACACAGAGAGAACAGGGGCAAAACTAGAGCCACTTCTTTGGTGCCCTGTGGCTCTCTATCCCCTGCTTCCAGCTCAGTTCCAGGCCTAGCTACTTCCTTGCCCTTGGATTCTGACACCCCCACATCCTTGAAATGAATTCCCCTTTGTAGCGCAGCTAGCAGAGTTGGGTTTCTGTTCATGGAAACCAGGCGTCTTTACCAATCCAACCACTTACTAGAAGCTCCTTGAGAATGCATGTTTCCCCACAGGTCTGGCACAATGCCCTGCCCAGAGCAGGGTGCTCAGAAAATGTAAGATACTGAAGCTTCCAGAATTTCCCCTAATATCTGCTCTCCAGGAATGGCTGTCCTTTCCTAGAAGTCCTCTCCCAAATGGATCTTGTATTGTAATTGCCAAGATACTTGTCCCAGCTGCCTTTCTCAATGTCCCCATGTCCCAACATAACCCCAACCCGTTGCCATCTAGACCAGGTAATAGAGGCGGGGGGCGGGGTCAAGAGGCTGGAGACCAGGGTGCGAAAATTGTAAGCTTGTGTATTGCATGAAATTCATCAAGCATCCAGCATAAGTTACTCAGTCAATGTTAAGGAAGTGAAAGAAAACAGAACTGTTCCGGACTTGTGACAGAGAAACGAGTCAAGTGTAGTTCCCAACCCTTAAGGAGCTTAGAATGTGTTGGGAGATGGACTCAAACAGCCACAACTAGAATACAATTTAAACATTGTAATTGACACAAGTACACAGCTCTCTGATTGCTCAGAGGTTATGCTGGGACGTAGGATCAAAGAAGGCTTTAGACAGTCGGAGATGTTTGAACTGGGCCGTGAAACATGCGTAGGATTTCCCCAGATGGCAAGAGTCTGGGAGAAGGGCATTCTAAGCAGAGGAAATAACAAGTGCCGTGACAAAGAGGGGTGGACAAATGTGACAATGGGGCAGGGGGAGGTTCGATTCATCTGGAAAGGCTAAAATAGCATTTTCCAGAAGATGCTCTGGGAAAAAATGTTCTAAGGCCAATACGTTTGGGAGATGCATCCTATATTCCCATTTAGAAATTTTAAATACATGTTTGCCTATCAAAGTCTCCAAGAAATAAGTTAGGAGGTTACATAGACAGTCCAAGGAAATATGGTGGAAGACCTGAAGGAGGGCAGTGGACGTGAGTACAGAAGGGCATGCGTGTGAGAGACTCAGAGACACATAATCAGGATGCAATGCCCAAGAGGAACGGATTTTAAAGGACCAGGTTTTAGCTTGTTGGACTGAATGGATAGCAATGCAGTTTGAGAAGAGACATATGTGAGGAAGATAACACAGGTTTTGCTTCAGTCCTGTTGAATGTGAGCTGACTCTGGGCAAATCATGTGAAGTTATCAACAAATAGCTGACAGTACAGGGGTAGGTTCCAGAAGTGAGCGTGTAGTTCAAGATGATGCTGGCCAACTATTATAGAAAAGATTAAGCACTGGACAGGGCACTGGATCAGATGAACTCCAAGGTCCCTTCTGGCCCAGAGCTAGTATGGTTTTATGGCCAGAGGGCCCAACGTTGAGGAGTGTAGACAGTCCGATCTCTGCCTGCTGATCCCATGCAAGCACATGACCTCTTGCAGCTGGTCATGGAAGTAATGACCACAGAGGAGTTTGCCATCTGCACAACCATCCCAGGGAACGGAAGTGGTTTTTAAAGAAATGTCTTTCACTAGTAAAACTTTGCAATGATTCTGTAAAACGGCTCCGTTTCTTCTGTCCTAGCCTCACTGGGAGGAACAATGGAAATACAGGATGTTCAAGAGGCATCGTGGAAACTGAGTGTGTTCCTCGCAGTGCACTTCATTGACCCTTCCTAGGTGTCTGTGAAGCCTGGGAGAGCTGAGACAGCACTGGGCTGAAAGGCAGGTAGCCGTGGTCCCAGTCCTGACTGTATTTTATATCATTAAGTCACCTCGTGTCCTTCAGAAAATTACCTACTTTCCATGTGTCACGATGCCTCTATTCATACATCTGTGAAACCCATTAAAATAATGATACCTGCACTTCTTATTCCCAAAGTTGCCAGGAGGGTTCAATGAGATGAGTTTGTCTGGAGAGAGATAACATCAACTATGAAGATCACCTATTCTGAATATGCATCTTAAGCTGTTGGCTTCAAGGCACCCTGGACACTGAATCATGGAACAGACTTGTTTTACAGCTAGGAAACCAAGTCCCATGGAGGGGAGGTGATTTACCCAAGGTCAGACAGGTAGCAGAGCAGCGTCAGCAGACAGATGCATGTTCTTCATTCCAAGCATCATTGGCTTCCAGAGACCAAAAAGGCTGGGACCATGGCTGGGAAGAAAAATGGCTGAGTAGCCAACATATAGTATTCAGAACACCTCTCAGCAAAGCAAGGCTGCTCAGGTAAGAGTGACCAGCTCAAACTCTGCCCCACATTTCTACAAAGTGAGCGATCTTCCTTTATTTGTGTCAAACTGCGCTGGCCACAGCTGAGTCACCCTGACTCCTCAGCTCAATGATTTCAACACACACTAACACATTCTATGATGGTGAGCATTTTTATATTGATCTCCTCACTGACTAGATTAGAACTTCAGACATACGAACTTCACCCTCTCTTGCAGATCCTCTCCTCTCTAACCCCAGAGGGAGTGTTCTAGGTAGGGAGCAATGAGCTGTTTTCACTCACAACACTCTGATACCAAATGTATGTGAGAGGGTTTCACACACCAACCAATTCTCCAGCTATCTAACAGTCACGACTCAGAGTTAGGGCAGACCCCACAGTTTAAGAGCTCATTTCCACAAGACTGTCCCCACTTCAGATGCCAGTCTTACCACGTATACTTCTGATCAAACTGTTAGAAATTCACGGGGTGCCCACAGCCTTCTCCTCACATTTGATAATTTGTCACAATAACTCACAGGACTCCGGAAAACACTGCTTACTATCATGGATTTATTATAAAGGATACAGGTCAGGAAAAACCAGATGGAAGAGATGCATAGGATAACTTATGGGGGGAGGAGCATGGGACATTTATGCCTGCGGCTGTTCTACCCTCCCAGGAGCTCAATGTGCCCATTAGCCTGGAAGCTCACCAAACCCTATTGTTCAGGGGCTTTTATGGAGATTTCCTTATATTAGCAGGGTTGATTAAATCAATGGCCTTTTTTTTTTTTTTTTTTTAACTGAAGCATCGTCAGTTCACAATGTTGTGTCAATTTCTGGTATACAGCATAAGAGTTTAGTCATGCATATACGTATGTATATTCCTTTTCATATTCTTTTTCATTATAGGTTACAAGATATTGCATATAGGTCCCTGTGCTCTACAGTAGAAACTTGTTGTTTATCTGTTCTATACACAGTAGTCAGTATCTGCAAATCTTGAACTCCCAATTTATTCAAGCTTCAGCCCCTCTTCCCTCTCCTGAGGCTAGGAGATAGGTCTGAAAGTTCCAACCCTCTAATCAAATCTTGATCTCCCTGGCAACCAGCCCTCATCCTGAAGCTCTCTGGGAACCCCCATTCACCAGTCTAACTCATTACAAAAAAGAGACATTGCTATCACCCAGGAGATTCCAAGGATGCAGAGTGTCAGAAGGTCAAGATGCTCGTATCACTTCTATTACTCAAGAAATTACAAGGGTTTTAGGAGCTCTATGCCAAGAACCAGGGACGAAAATCCAATAGTGTATATTTCTTATTATGCCACAGGGGCCAAAGTTTATTTAAGCAAGTGTCTCCTAACTGATCTTCCTGGATCTTGCTTTTCTTTCATCTTTTATTCTCCCAGAGTTGGCGTTGTTATCTTCCCATAGTATCACTGTTTCTCCCCCTCCCCATCTCCACAGCATACGGGACAAGACCCAAAGCTGCATCTTGGCATTAAAACTCCTTTTGGATCTGGCTCTACTCTGTCTTTCAACCTTTATTTCTTAAACCCCCCTAAGTACACCACATGCCAAGCTAAACCTGGACTCACTGCTGAATCCTGAGTACACGTGGGTCTTTTTTCACACTCATCTCTCACCCTGGTAGACCATTCACCAAGGTCCACCTCTGTTTCCTCTGTACCCTCATAGTCTCATGTTTTTCCTTTTTTCAGAACACATTTTCTTTCATAATATCATAATGTGTATACTCATTCCACTTCCTCATTAGATGGTCCTCATGTCCATCCCCCACGGCACTTAGCTTAGTGCCTGAAAACCAAGTCTCAGCCGGAAAATAACATATTATTTTAGGAAAGAAAGGTATAGACACTATACCAGAACTGAAGAACACCATACTTTAAAAAAAAATCAAAAATACAAAGAAACAAAAAACACCAAGAAACAAAAAAACCTGTTAGCTGAAGATGAAAGCATTTCCATGCTGCTTCAAATCAGGGTTGAGTAGCTGGTTCTCCAGACAAGCACTTGGAGAAGCTGTTTTACCTGTTCCCCCTCTTGTCTGCTCAGTTGCCTAGGGTGCTTTGAAGTCTGTAAAATGGCCAATGCCTCCAATCAGGGCAGCGCTTCCTCTCCAGACAGGAAGACGGCTGCTTCGTGGAGCAGCCACGCTTGTTTTTGCGGTCTGGGCTGCAGCAGTGACTCATTCAGCAAAGCCAGAGGCTGTCTATTTTGATCTTTCTTGTTCAGAGTCTATTTATGCTTGCAATTTTCTTTCTTTCTCTTTCTCCCTCTCCGCCTCTGGTGACATCGGAACGGTCGCACACATTTGACAAGCGGAACCTGTATAAGGAGAGAGTGAGCACGATTGCACAGACTTTCAGCTAAAGCCCGGGACCAAACGCATGTGTTTACAGCCCTGATGATAGGGTTCCGGTAATGACTTGGCCTTTTTCTCCTTGATTGAATATTCCCCTGAGCCTGGCAGTCTGGCCTCCTGTTATTTAATGAGGACATTGGAGCACAACCTCAAGATGTCTGCAAAAATGACCTTTTCTTTGGGCTCATTCCAAATGCAAAGAAAAGTAGAGCCCCAGTTAGACGGGGCGCTTCTGGAATACAGCTTTGGAATCCACTCTTTCCCCCAGAAGCTCGGAAGCCTGGAATCACACACTATCAGAGCCAGAGAGAACCATAGAGATGATCTGGTTACCAGCTCTCATTCTGCAGATGAAGAAATCCAGGACCAGAGGGAAAAAGCAAGTCACCATAAATCACAGGGCAGACACGGTCACAACAAACTCAGGCAGGGAACCTAAGTCCCTAAGTAGTAGTCAGTATACTTTTGAATGCTTCGAGATGGAAATTAACAGCTGGCCAAATGGTGGCTTAAAGAAAGGAAAAGCTTCTCTTAACCTCCCCTGTGGTGTACCATGCCAGCGTTATGCTCTCCTTTTAGCTTTGCCCATGAGGTGGGACTAGTGGTGCAAGCAAAGGAATTAGTCTCTAACTGTAAGCTCAGTGGCTCACTGATAGCTTTAAAAGCCGAAATAGGATTAGCACAAAAGTCAATGGTGTGGAGTCTTACCTAGGACAACCTCAGAGGTCCCACTCTGGCCTCATTCACTCTACATCTGCACGTTGGCTTCACCTGCAAAATGGAGAATTAGTTTACTGACTGTGAGCATTCTTATCAAGTTTAAATGAGAAAATAAGGTCAGAAAGTTCTTGGTGATGTAGAGCTCTGTTCTACTCGTGAGAAGGATTATTATGTCGTTAGACTCCTACGTGTGGGGGTCTTGTTTTCTTCAACATGATGATTTCATATTCTCCTGTTCATAGAGACCCCTTAATTCTAAATGAGAGATTTTGAACATTATTTTTGGCAAACAAATTTTTTCACATGCTCATTGTAGACTATTTGGAAATCCAGAAATGTATTTTTAAAAAAGAAAATGAACTGTATCTCGTTACCCAGCTATAACCACATGCTTATACGAGAACCAAATTACTATAATTTTTTCTTTTGTGTGAGCTTTTTCTCCCAGGTCATCAAATATTTTATTTTATGTGTGTGTATGTGTGTGTGTGCATACATTATATATCTGCATACTATTCCAACATCAGAATGCATCAGAATATATTTAAGTGATAATTATTTTTTTAATATTTAAGTAGTTTATTAGTGATTTCTTTAACATAAGTTTAAAGATTGAATGTAGCCCAAGTTGGAATTTCTCTGAGCCTTCCTAGAAACAGGGTAACTATATGTTCTCTGGTCCAAAACTGGGCATGTGTTTTGAGTAGAAAGTCATACTATTGATCATTATGCTGTGACAAGAAGCATAAATCTGAGCTGCTCTGGGCAAAGTGGGACATGTGACCACTCTATCTACAGTTATAAAAAATTGTAGAAACATCACCGACCACAGGCAGTACTGCATAAGGTAAAAAAATACACAATCCGGAATTAGAGTATTCGGGTCAAAGATCAGGATCCATCATTGTTAGCAAAAATAACAGAATGGCATTGAACCGCATCTTTAAGATGCAGGCTATCACCTCCGTGTCAGATTTACCTGTATTTAAGTGCAAATGTAAATGAAAGCCTGTTGTAGCTGAAATAAGCCCAACTGTTGGGAAGACGTTTTTTTTTAATGGTGTTAGAGCTGGTTCTCGTCACATCAGCCTTCTTCATGGGGAGCCCTCAGCAATTCACACTATGCCTGCATATGCAAATGGTCCCTCTGACAGGAGATCCGATAGTGAACCACTGACCCGCACAAGGAGAATCCACATGTGCCCCTAGAAGGACCTCATTATGCTCCACATAAAATAATAACTAGTGCTTTACAGCTGTCCTTTGGCTTTATTGACTGCTGGTTAAAACAGGTTACGGTTTGGAAATTGTATGCCCACGTCAGTCCTTCGTCCTCTGATGATATTTGGGTCACTGGGATTATACCTAAATGGTCTGTTCCAGTCACCTGCTAAGAAAGAAAACACCAAGAACAGAAGTTTAACTTTTCCAAGTATTATATATAAGTTAATTCCCAGTTTCCTAATGAGGATCAATGCTTGAATTCTCTGCAGCCTCATAGTCTGCCTCAGGCAGGAAAGAAATGGTGGGTCCCCAAAACAGTCAAAAGGTTATCTTCTAGTTGGGTTCTTCTCTCTATGAATTAGGAGAAAGAGGCTAAGGGGCTTATAACTCTATGAACTAAGGCACCCAAGTCCTGCATATACCTCATGATCACCTGGTTGGGATGTTCTACACCACACAGAGCTGACCTTGCAGTGAGGACTTGCTAGCTGCATCATGAATACACCTGTCCTTGCCATAACCATCACAGTAATCATATATCAGTTCAATATTCAGTTGAAAAGTTTCATTATCATTTTTATAAAGAGTGCCTTAAGTAATAATCTTTGATTTATCAGCCTCCTTGAGATGTGTACATTTTTCTTTTCTTCACAGTGCCTCATACAATGCCTTCTATAGAAATAAGGGTTTGATCAATACTTGTGAAATGAACAAAATAATACCCACCCCCTTTCCACTGCGTACTTGAAAGAATCAGACCTTTACAGTAACCCAAACTCTTTCACATTCTCCTTCACCTGTGCGTTAGTGACAAGAGCAATAAATTCAGAATTACAATAACTGCGTTTAAATGAGAGTGAAGCTACAACTTTTCTCTACAGATGAACTTCAATTAATAAACATAGAAGGAATAAGAAAAATAGAAAATGACCAGAATACCACAATAATTGTGGCAGTAAGCAAGATCCAGCAAGAGATGCTAAAATTAGTTGGCAAAAGTTTAAATAGAAACAGGATATTTATATCTTCTTAAAGCATGTCCTTTCAAATTCTTTAATAATTACAGAGGAGAAAACAATAAATTTAGAGTGGAGAGACCCAGCAGATGCCATCTTTATCAAGTGATCAAGGTTAGTGTTACCAATCATATCTATCACAATCTGATGTGCCCTGAGAAGGACGCAGCACCTCAGCATGACCCTTCCCAAAACCTTCAATCCAATCACAAGAAACAGCAGACTTGCCAAAACTGAAGGTCATTCTACAAAATAACTCATTGGTGCTCTTCAAAAGTGTTAAGATCGCGAAAGACCAGGCACTACTGTGAGGAACTCTTCCAGGTGGCAGAGATGAAGGAGCCATGGCAGTGACAGTGCTGTGGGAATCACACACGCTCCAGGAGAGACCCACGAAGGTGAGCCAGTATCAGGACTCTGGCTCTGGCAAAGTGAGTTCACGGGGAATGTGTGACTCAGGAGAATTTCCTCTCTCTCTCTGTGATTTGTGATCACGCACAATGTATTTTAAAACTGTTAGGGTATTTCTATTACTCACCCCTCAAAACAGCTCAATGGTATGTCTTTTGCAGATTTTTAAGTCACAAAGAGAAATCAGAACCACCATAACCCATCTCTGGGGTGTGTGGTTGGAGAAGGGAAAGAGAAAACGAAGGAGCAGTGGAGCACAACACTTTCACAGATGCCAGCTGATCATACGGGGCAGGCTGCCCATTCTCACCTTCCTGAGAAGCTGAGGCTGAAGAATTCCGACTCTCTCTAACCCATAAGGAAACAGCCATCTTTCTGCTCTAAGCCTTGCATTGCATCCATTCTTATTTCTTGTCCATAGCATCCAGTCATCGAGATTCTGCTCAAAGGCCACCTCTCTCGTGAGTTTTCATCCCTGATTCTCCAAAGCAGGTATGGTTTGTTTTTTCTGACTCTCTACGTTACTCTGAAAAGAACTAAGACCTTTACCTGGGGTTATAGCCACATGTATCCACCTTGTATCTCCATTTTTGGCTTTGAGGGCAAAGATTGTGTCATGTTCCTGCCAAGATTTCCTATGGTGCCTCCAAAGCAAAGGTGAGACTTTCTAAACCAGGTGGAGAGGCCAAGTCCTGGTTCAGATTAACCACTAACTTGGCACATTAGTAACAGCACATACTGTTACAGGTACGAGTTTAGCATTGGTAAATACCATCTGTTTATTCACATGCATAATTGTCTAGATGATTTCTAAGATTCTTCCAGTTCTGCTCTTCTGAACTCTGGGACCCTGACATCTGGGATAGCAGGCATCGGAGTAATGGTCTGGTGCTGCCAACACCTTTCTGGCTACTGAAAACAGCTTCCCACAGATACCACAATCTCTCTTTTGGCTGAGACTCCCCTGTTCCTTCTTGCCACCTTGGAGCCGTATTAGAAAGATTAAAAGCAAGAACCTTCTCTCGGGGATGTCCCAGGCCCTAAGACCACCACTGAGCGAGCAGTAGCAGACTGCCTGTGAACCAACAGCATGAAATCTCTGAGTGTCTTCTCCCCAAGGTCACCTTCAGGGAGGATGTTTGCTTCCTCAAAGGGAAGATGCAGCTTTATTCTAAGTAACAGCAGTCGCAAGCTCTACGTTTATATGATGCTCCACGGGATGTTCCTGCTGGATTCGAGTAGAGTAACATATTTCCTCTTGCTGGTCTTCAAGTTACCAATCGTTTCACAATGGAAACCATATGAAGAAGAGCCGGTCTTCTTTCCTCACAGCATTGGGTAGAAATCAAACAAGACGTAACTAGCAACTGCTTACAAAGTGCCCATCACCAGCCAGTTACCGAGGACTTCCCATGTGTCATTTAATCCTTCTAATGTCCCTGTAAACTTGGTATTACAATTCCCACTTGAACAGTGAGGAAATCTATGCTCAGGAAAGTCAAGCAAGTTGTACAAGGTCACAAATCTGGGAAATAACTGGAATGGGATTCAGACACATAAAGCTGCCCCACAAACCCCTGCTCTCAAGCACTCTCCTCTCATGTAAAAATGCTTTCAAGTCAGAAAGCATCACCCCATGAAGGAACTGTCACTTCATCTTCACCACACATCAGGGGATGATAAGGCAGATATTTTCATTCCCACTTGATAAATAAACAGAGATCAGACTTACTTTTGGCCAGCTAGAAAATGGCAAAACCTGGAGCCAAACTCGTTGTCTGGTTCCATGACCAGATTCCCTCAACTAAAGAAAGAGGCATAACCTTCAGTTTCTGTCTGAAAATAGAATGCTGTATGTTTGTTAATACTAGAAGAAGGCCACGCCACCTTACAAGAGTGTGGCTGCCTCCTCCGTGTGTCTTCTGAGTCAAATTGACTTATTTCATCTGTAACGAGGAGTTTGCCTGATGTCAGCACCTCATAGCCCAAAATGGACGTTTCTGTCTCATGCATCATCCCCTAAACCTAAATTGCCAGCAAAGTCCTGCTTCCAGAGTTTTTATTATCTGTAACGATGCTCTGAACTGAGGGAAAGAGCCGAGCTCTGTTCCAGGCATCAGCAGTGCCTGTCAGGCTGGGAGGGAGAACTCCACCTTGCACTTGGTCAGGGAAGTTAATCCAACATGAGACCCTGAAGATGGAACATCACGAGGGTGAGTTTCTGCGGAAGCATTTTGCTGATCATTTAAGACACTTTAAAAATAAAGCAAAATAGAACAACAACAAAAAACAACCCAGAAGCTCCATTTTCTGAGCAGACAATCACATCTCTCACTGAAAAATATTTTTAAAGTCTGCCATGAAGAATCCTGCAAAAGAAGAGGATGGTCTTCTCTGAGA